TCTGCAAGAATGAAAGAAACTCTAATTATACAACTGGCACTGGACAAACAGTCCCTCTCAACAAACATTTGAGTGCTTACTATGTGCCTGGCTCTGTGTTACACCCTAGGAATATAAAGTAGACTCAAGACAGTCGTTATCTTTAGGAAACTTAATAGTTTCTTAAATCATAGAGGAAACAAACCTGTAAGAAGATAATTTCAGTGACATTACACAGCCAAAACCAATGCCTGGGAAAATGCATCCCAATATTTAAAAGCTGTTATGTGTTAAAATGTGGTTAGATTTAAGGTGGTTTGGCCATGGCTCAAATACCCACAATCCTACTTCAACACTGCTCCAAGAAATTCCTGGGCAGAATAGGCTAGAAGAAACAATGGCAAAGTAAAACAGAGCGTGCACTTTGACTCTTGACCTCAATACAGAGGAATAGGATATACTGACCTATAGTTTAAGGGGAGCAGCCATTTTTATATTCTAGCTGGATTTAAATGGCCTTAGGCCAAAGCACCATCTAACACTTAAACCCACATTAATTCTGGTCACATGGAACAAAAATAAATGTGAGATTGAGGGTGAGCTAGCTGTTTAGGCCTCTGACATTCTGGGCCAAACTGTCTTAATGCTCTAATGGTCTGAAAGGGAGAGAATCAGAGAGAGCAACTATCTCTGATATTTAACATGTGGACATCCCACCCACTATCAAAGATAGCCTGCTCAGTGACTTTAAATCGAATTAACTCCTCCCTGTTGGACAGTTTGATGCCCTTGCATAAGGCATTATTTCCTCCCTGAGTCTTCTTTTCCTTACTCCTGCCAGAAAACTCCTTGAAAACTCCACTTAAGTTTTACTTACAAAACTTTTTTTTAGTGTTAGCAGATTTGGATCAGTCCTTTTGGTTATACCTTATCACTTGTTATGTTTATAAACATATAAACACCTAAGATACTTAGTCTTAGTTTGCTCTCCTGATAGGAGTTGAAAATTTCAACAGAGGAACAGACCATCCATATGAGAACTTTAAATATTTTTAGATGATACATGAGAAGTGACACAAACATTTTGAGTGATTATAGTTCTTCAGTTCTACCTTAAACTGTTTTTATCTTTGAAATGCATTTGCCCAGTTAACCTTGGCACTGAACAAGAAACAGATAGTCTGACAGAATCTGATGATTATCTCAAGAGGAACTGCAGCTACATATCACAGAAAGCAACAGCATAGCAACTTTGGTCCAGAAAGCTTTGCCTTTAATCTTGTCTTTCCATAAACATGATCTAAGCAGTCCATAATACAAGGTGGTTGCTTTTTTTTAAAGTTTATCACTTTTGAATGACATCAGGCTCATAAATATTTGTGTGTCAAAACTCCAAGGTTTCCCCCAAACCACAGTTTTATACTCCCATGAAAACAAGCATTTAATGTGCTTGCTTTTCCGATTACAATCTGCAGGGAAATTAATCACTTGATTTAGGCATACAGTTCAATTGAACACACATCGATTGTGTGCCTACTATGCGGCAAGCCCTGTGCCAGATGCTGGGAATACAAAGATGGGGAATTCATGGTGTGCAAGGGTATGTAGACTAGACAGATATAATGAAATACTGACAAATGCTGTCAGAGCAGTAGGAGCACAGTGCTCAAAGAAGGCAGAACACAGAGGCATAGTTCTTCTGGGTGAAGAGGAGAGCAGTGCTAGAGAAAAGCCACTCTTGGGATCATTGCCACTACAATATGGCTTCCAATTTCAGCCTCCCCCACAGTGTTTTGTGACTTTCTGATTTTGGACACCTCACCCAGTAGCTTCTTGCATTTCTTTCGCTGATGATTCCAACATTCACAATCCTTTATGTAACTCATCCCTTTTCTTGTGTTTCATCTTCCTTTGCACCTTGTCCTCTTCCCTTCCAGAAAACCACCAGCCCTCCTTGTTCACAGAGCAAAGAGTTTCTCTCACATGAACTCCCTCAATTTCCTACTCTTCTTCTCCACTTTCCCCACCCCTAGTATTTCAAATAACACATTTTTTTCTTGAGTGAATGTATGAATGAATAAACATGTTAGGCACTATTTGTGCTAGATGCTGCAGATACTCATGTCAAGATAGGTTTCTCCCTGTCCTCAATCCAGTCACTGTAGTGAAGTCACATCTGTCACTCCAGATTATGCTTTACTCTTGAATTCCAGACTCACGCACTCTCATCTGTTTGTCCTCCACATAGCTCAATATAATATATCCAATATTGTATCCCCCTTACTCCCAGGTTTGTTCTTCCTCTTATTTCACCTGACTTGGTGAATAACTGCATCACCTATCTGTTTAGTGACCCAAGACAGAAATGTGGGGTTCTAATTAATCACCAATAGCTACATATAGAATCCTCTAAATGTCTCTCATTCCCGTTTTTCCACTCCCTCTGCCTTTGTCTTCGGACACTGACTCATTATCTCTTGCTTGAATTTTTGAAATTGCCAGCCTGGGGGCAGTTATTTTTAACTCTTTCAGCTAATTCTTTGTGTGTCAAACTTTATGTCTTAATACAACCTTATATAGCTACTTCCTGATTTTTCAGATTTAGACTTTACTTACTGACCACTTTAAAAGGTGAGGATTTAGCTTTTTTTTTTTTTTAATCATCTCTGTACCCACTACACACAGGACTTCCTCTAATACTGAGTCTAGGAATATCATTATAATTTTCTTCTAATTAGGTCACTATTCAGTGTTTACATTATCATGACTATGAAAATGCTAGTCACAGCTGAGGTATGTAAACTGTTATTACATTACTTTTTCTGCACAACTCTTTCCCCCTAAAGATCATTTTATGACTTTTTGATCCCTTTGTTTTCTACTAAATTAAACGATGGGAAATTGCCACTTTTGTTGGACCCAAATTATAAAATATTGGCATTATGTTGTTCATGCTAGAATGTTCTTTTTACTAATCCAAAGTCAACTCTCTCTCCATTCTCCAAGTATCTCAGTACTTTTAGCTGAATGAAATGCTCTGTAATTTTCAGCTTGTTGACAGCTTCTGATGGATGAAGTGTTCTTTTCATTTTCATGCTCCTGAAGAAATCTCTCCTGGAGTCTTCTGTCTTGCTCTGATCTGGAATAGTTGTTAGCTGTGCCAGGGAGACAGCTGTCATCCAAGGGTTCCTCTTCCCTAGTATCCCAGGGCTTCTATTTCTTGGTTTATTCCCTCATTTTGGAGGATTACATCTTCTGAAAGCTTCCTGAGAAAAAGCACCCAAAAGGTAAAGTTTTGAGATCTTGCTTATTTAAAGTATTTTTATTTTGCCCTCTCAATTAATTCATTTGGCATGGTGTATTGAAAAATCTTTTTTTTCTTTTTTAAGAATTTTTAAGCTGTTGCCACAGTATCTTCTAGCATCCAGGTTTGCTGTGGAGAAGTCCAAAGCCATTCTGTTTCTTGATCCCTTGAACATTTCCTTCAGAACCTTTTCTTTTTCCTAATTTTCTGAAATTTTTTGGTGTTGTGCCTTGGCGGGTATCTATTTTCATCCATTGGGTTGAATATGTACCGGACACTTGAATCTCACTGGGCTGGTCTGGGTTATATGTTCACCTCTAAACAGATTGTGGTGGACAGGGAATGCTGTGCACTGTTAGGCCAGTTCCAGGCCATTTGTCCTTCCCTAGAACTGATAGCTGGGGTGGGAGGGTACACAGACTGACAATGTAGGAAGAGTGACACCTGCACTTTCCCAGGGCAAGTCAGGGTGATGGTGCTAAAAGAAACACGAAAGACTGGGCTGACCAAACTACAGCACATCCACTCTATGGTGTAAACAAACTCTGTATGTGTAGCTCGATGGAAGCCTAACTTGCAATCAGGATACTGAGTTTTGAATGACAGGCGTTGCTGTGGGCCACGTGGTCTGAATGGCACTCACTGCCTCACATTTACCACACCAGGAACGCAAGTCGTGACAGAGTGAAGTAGTATCCTGTATTTTATAGAGAGCATACTAACTTTTATTCACTTCTTAGAAAATATTGGAAAATGTCCAACTAAATAGATTCTGCAGATGCAACTGTAAATCGATCTCTTTTCCAAAAGCCTGAAAATCAATGCTCATTTACATAATGCTAGTTTACAGAGTAGCCAGGAGCCAAACTGTTTGTGTGAAAGCACTGAGACTATGTTCCCAAATTAGGCCAGGAACATGTTTCCCACTGTCTCTTGCCAGGCCTTGAACTGGCAAAGCCCTACTACATCTAAAGATTTGATGCCCTGTATCTGACTGAGTCCCCCACTGTGTCTTAGAGTAGAATTATTTCTCCATGTCATTAGGGAATGAAAACTCATGTTAAAAATGTATAGGACATGTTCTGAGAACAATAAACCTCACAGCCAACCAATAAGCTTTATTAGAAATGCTGAGATAAAAGTAATTACTACATTTGCACATAAATTTTCCAAATTACAAAAAAACTACACAAGTATTTATTGTCTGTATTTTATAGACGCATTCAGCTTTGTTTACATAGTACATAAGTCAAAGAGGAAAGCCTGGTGATTATCACTATGAAAAGCATTTATTGAAACTTCCTGTGATAGTTACTTGAAACAATAGTGAACACGCATAAATGCCATAAAAGTAAACATGAAGGGTAAGCAAAGATAAAGTGCCTCTCCTGTTATGGTTGCCAGATAAAACACAGAAGACTCCATAAATTTGAAATTTCGGTAAAAATAAGTAAATTCTTTAGCTTAAGGAGGTCCTTAGTATTTCACAGGAAGTATTTATAGTAAAAAGTTTGTTATTTATCTGACAATTTAATTTAACTGGTGTTCTGTATTTTGACTTACTAAATCTGGCAAACCAAGTTCTCATAGCATAGGGACTTAATTTCATTTAGGGGACAGAAAGATTATGAGAAGTTCTGTGTTTGTGGAAGCTGAGGCTAAAAGGAATTTGCTACCAAATTTCCAGTTGGTGAAGCCATGTTTCCTTTCAATTCAGTTTAAACAACGTTTGCAGAGTATCTCCTACCCATAGATAGAGACCTGGATACTGGACAATGTAGAGATGAATAAATTGTTTTCCAAGATTCTCAGAGCTCAAGTGAAGATGATTTCAGGTCTGTATGAGCATGTGGTCCAGAAAAAGGGTGTGAAGAGGAGAAAGCAGGAATGTGATCCTTAAGCAGATGGGGATTTGAGCAAATGTGACTGTCAGGGAAGAGCTGGGTGAATAAAATGATGTAACAGATGGTGCACTATGAACATACACAGCGGCAGATATTACTAATGCACTACCTGAGAACTCCAGGTGGCTTTATCTATGGTTTTCAGGCCTGCATCTAGAATAGAAGCTCTCAGATACGTATTTACAAAGCATTAAGCTTAACGGTTTATCCTAACTTGAGAGTTTCACCATGCCATGGTTTTAGTCTTAGAAACTTTGACCTAAATTATCAATTTTAATATACCCTGCAACCTGACTCCAGTAATACTGGATAGCATTTACGAGGCGCTAAGTCCTTTCATGAATTAAATTATTTATTTCTCACAACAACTCTATGGGGTGAGTGCAGCTATTGTTTCCACTCTAGCGGAGGCAGGTCAGGAGTAGGAAATTGAAGTGCCTACAGACCACGCGGGAACATAAATGAGGGGGCAGGCCAAGACTAAGGCAGTGAATGCAAGTGACAGCCTTAGAACTGGGACGTAACAAGGAGACTGTGGCAAGCTGGGGAGAGGATGACCTGTCTCCAGCCCTTTCTGGGAGGCTCAGACTTGCCAAATCGTCTATTTTTTTTTCCCGAGAGAAGCTAGAAATCCAAAATTTTAAGCAAAATTTCTTAATATTTGAGTATTAGAAACTAGTTAAAAACCTCAGCTGGCCAAACGAACACAAATAACATTATTCTGGCCTTAAATCTGCTTTTCTGAGCAAATTTGCCCCCAGTTTGTCATTTCTGCTTTAAATTTCTTTTTTACAAACTAAAAAGAGTAAATTGTCTTGTCAAAATCGAAAATCACTGAGCAAATCCTATTATGTCACACCAGATCCAAACGAGCATATTTTTAGACCTTAAGACTAGGTTGCAGCAGTGTATGACGATCAGCATTAAGCATGAACTTTGTGTAGCCAGTACACAAAAAGCACAAAGAAAACAGCTGTTCCTGTTCTATCAAATAGTATTTCTCAATTTTTAAAAATTCACAATTCACCTTAAGAAATTAATTTTGTATCACATATGCTCTTATGTGTGTGACTGTGTATAAAAATATTTGCCAGAAATAATACTCATCCTTACTACCTGTCATGCGTTCTGATGCTTTTTATTCTATCCTGTTTCATATTGTTTAGTACATGCTGAATGGATTTCATAACCCACTAATAGGTCATGTCCAAATTGAAAACCTCTGCTATAGAGAACAGCTTTTTCTTTGTAAGGGTAGTGTTGGTTTAAGATCATAATGCACTACAACATTCAGCACTGAGTGATGTAAAATGTGAAAGCTAGCAAGTACTGTATATCCAATATCTACTGTGAAAATTCTGGTAGTGAGAGATCCTCACACTTAGGTATGACCTCATTGCTTCCTTTGCCAGTTAATTTTCTTTCCCTAAGACGATTAGGGCAGGACAGCTCCTTTTTTTTTTTTTTTTTCAACTCACTGAAAGCAAGAGAATGACTACTTTTTGTGTTCTCTGATAATGCCCAGTTCAAAGTTGTGGCTCAGTTAAAACTTGTTGCTTTGATTGAAATACTGTACTGTGGCTATTAATATGTAGGTTATTGGTTCCTGGCTGATTATTAGAGTTTCCTGGAAAACTTGAAAACAATATGGAATCTTATTCAGGAAAATTATTTTTGTATTTGCCCTTTGGCCCAGCAATTCTATTTCTAGGAATTGACTCTGGTGACTCGTTGGTTAATAAACTAACAATGATACCACCATTTTAATTACTATACAGCTATAAGAATAAGACAGATTTCCATGATATATGGCTAAGTTAAAAAAATCATTGTGCATGTATTTTGTTTATTTTTGCAAAAAGAAACACTAGTAGTATAAATAAGGAACTAAAATAGCTATTATCTATAGGATGGTGTTGGAATGGAGTGGAGGGGAAAGGGAGAGATGAGACTTAGAAATCTGAGCATGCCTTTTCATTTAATTTAGGTTTTAAATCGTGTAAATATTTTACATATTAAAAACACAGGATTAATTTAAAAAGAAAAAAACACTCAACTTGGAAACAAAAACAAAGAAACCTTGACTGTATATCAAACTGCTAACACAACTACACAGAGAAAAAAGTTATTTCCAATGGATTTTGAATGTAACAATCACTTCTCAGCCTTTTGGCTAAGATCAAGTGTTGAATGTAGGACTCTGTGCATCCTTAGTGAGATAAAATCTAAAGACTAAAAGAACTACAAAGAAAACTTAAACATCACTTAGTGATTCTTATCATTAGTACCAATCATTGGTATTGTATTCTTTGACCATTATTGCTTATTTTGGAGAAAAAAATAAATGTTTAAGATGACAAGATTCTGTGTATGAAGAACACATGAGTATGAAATCAAAGAAGTTAAGGAAAATTGATAAAGTTAAATTTGAATTGGAAATATTGATATGAACTTATATTTTGAATATATATATATATTCTGTCTCTTTTTACTGAAAGGGTCGAGAAACAATAACAACTCTGTAGTGCCCAGATCTTGATTATTAAAGGACCAGATTTACTTCAAGAAGTGGCTGATTCTGAGTCTGAGGCAGTTCAGTAAAATTTGCGCTTGCAAGATCTTATGCCAGAAAGCAAGAAAGCCCTCGAATATAGGAGCCAGCTTGAAGCAGCTTCCATTGACCAAATTTGGCACAAAAGGAGCATCCCTCCAAAATAACTCAATGACCATAAAATGTAAAATAAATGAAAATCCATCAGTTCTGGAGAGAGAGAGAAACTATTTGCTACCAGTGGAGATGACATTATATCAACCCTTTACTCTGGAAACAGGTAAGACAATATTTATCATGTCTTTTTGGAAGGAACTGTTGAAACTGGTTAACCTGTGAAAGCTTTTTTTTTTTTTTTAAACAAAAGGATGTCAGCTCATCAATATGGAAACAATAATAGAATTAGAAAAAGCACCATTTGGAACCCTTAATGGAGTAATTCATTCAGGCAAAAATTATCTAAAAATTATTTGGGTGAGAAGATGATAGGGAGGAGAAGATTTGTCCAGTGTCCAAGTATCACTCTACAGATAGCTTCTTAATTGCAGAGGGGAAAAAAAAACTCACCTTTACAATAGAAATACTTGATCACCCTACATACCTGTCAAACCTAGTGTCACTGACAGGTAAGCTGAATTATGTGGTTCCGGGTGTGGTCATGGGATCATAGTGTCATTAATAAGTATTTGTGTCAAAAAGGTTTAAACTAAATTTAATCAGGTTTGTAGATCCAATTCGCAGTTTACAGGAAAAAGGAAAGTAAAAAAGAACAAGTCTAATGACACCAGAAGGCAAGCCACATTGCCAAGAGGCAATTTTTTGTGTGTAGTTAGAATTTGATCAGAAGGACCTCTTAGTTTTCAAAGTATATTAAGCAGAAGTTGCTTCCCTTAGCTTTTATTGAAAACCCTATTCCTTCATAAGGATGAGATGCTGGAGCTGCTGATTTAGGTATTTTATCCAACATAAAGGAATATTTTTGTTTAATTCTTATTTTTTATTGAAGTATAGTTGATTTACAATGTTAGTTTCAGGTGTACAGCAAAGCGATTCAGCTATAAATACATATGTATGTATGTATTCAGATTCTTGTCCATTACAGCTCATTACAAGGAATTGAATATAGTTCTCTGTGCTATACAGTAGGTCCTTGTTTATTTTATGTATAGTAACATGTTAATGTTACACAAAAGAACAGCTCCAATTTCAACATGAGGAAGCAATTCAGATTTGAGAAACATTGAGCTCTACCTGGAATTGGAGACATTTTTCTAACTAAAAGAAGAAACTATTTCGGTCTAAATACGGGCATTTTGATTGCTCAGTTCCACTGATCCCTTTTTGCTGCTTGCTACATTAAGTTCTCACTGAATGTGCACTTGCCTTCTTTGCAATGAAAGCAAACTAATCCCTAACATGACTTTGCAAATGTTCTTTAGACTTCTGACTGGGTCACTTCTTGTTGATGCTGTTACCCTGCTATGACATTTTGAACTTGGTGAATGGCATTGAAAAATCAACTTTTCTTAAATTATACTTAAGCTTAGGGGAAATAGCAGAGAAGCGTTTGATTCCTTCTTTCCTCACAGAATGAGAGAGCTTAGACTGAGGGCAGTCCTTGGTTCAGAGGACAGAGAATCAGGGACATGGCTGAGGAGCTACATTCTGTTTTTGAGTGAGGAGAAAATTCAGGCTTACTCTTTTGGAGCTGCCAGGCAGCATAGCTTCTGTGCAGAACTGCCCTATTTTTGCCACTGGCAGCTCCACCCTTGCTGTTCCCAGAAACACCCTCCAGTTTCCCCTCTTTTCAAACTCTGTCATTTTCTGCCCCTACCGGTTAGCACACATCGTTAATATTGTTAAATAAATTTCCTTGTATAGTTTGATGAAATCAATTTTTATAGTCTTGCCACATTTGTGTTAAATCCTGGGTAAGATTTCTATCTGGTACAGGTGAGTACAAGAACTAGGCTAACAGTAGGAAAGTGATCGCTGCCTACGTGAATGAGCAGCTTACAGTCTTATAATAATACATCCTATGGTCTAAGTTAATAGTTCTCAACATGTAATCTCTAGACTTGCACATCAGCATCATCTGGGAACTGGCTAATATTGCAAATTTGGGGGACCAAACCCAGACTTACTGAATCAGAAACTCTGGGAATAGAGCCCAAGGTTGTGATTTAACAAATCCTCCAGGTGACTTCTTATGCATACTAAAATTTGGGAACTACTCTAAGCCATGAGGTCTCCAATATTCTTTTATTAAGTCAGCAAACATGTTTAAACACCATCTATATGTTATGACCCTTAAAAAATAATGTAACAATCTTTGTTCAGAGAATGTAATATGGAATATAAGGAGAACAGAGTTTACACAAAAAACGGTAACAGGCACTTACTATCACCTGTCTTCCCAGCTTCTGGGTGTCCCCAAGTTCAGGTCTGTGGGTATAAGTGGATAAACCATGTTAACTAACGGTGAAGAGACCACATTGACATAAGTAAGTGTAACAATGGACAGCTCCTGATGCAGTTGAAGACAAAGAGTGAGTCTTCAGACTGAGTATAAAAAGAAGACCCTGTTTTATTTTATGCTGAGAAAAAATAACTAATTAAGACCATTGGGAAATGATGGGAGAGATGGTAGGGATAACTGGGATGATCTGGTTTGAAGGGAAAATTTATATTATGCACTGTCTGTGTAAACAGCTTTATCTGTCCTTAGCCTGTTGACTCAG